GGATTATTACCTTGGAAAAATAATCTGATAAAGCTGTGTGGAAGGTTTTGCTACTTGAACGGTATTCAGTTTCTCTTCTTCACTCTATAATTAAATAAACCAAAGGCGTCTTTTTGGTTTAGAATAGCAGACGGCATAGGAAGAAGTGTTTTGGTAATTTTTTAGATAGACTCAGTGGCCTAACAGAAAAAATCAGCTGTAAATTTTTCTGTTTAACCTGTATTTCAGAAAGAAAATTGTAAAACACATTTCTATGTGATGAGGTATAATATCAGTCAGTAAGAAAAACTAGCTGACAGATGAGGCATTATAGATCTTATATTTAAAGTCATATGTTGATTGGTGATGTAAATCTGGCTAGCTATTAATAGATGCAAGCATATGATGTATAAGGAGAACCAGACGGCTGTGGGGGTTGAGGAGGGGTCAGTCACGTTGTTGCCTTACTCTGCCAAAAGAGGGGTATCAAGTATACAGGGCCAACTCTTCTAGGAGGTGCACAGCAAAAACACGTGAGGCAATAGACACAAATTACAGCAAGGGAAATGCTCAAAAGACAGGGTGGGGGGGGATGGAAAAACCCACACTGAGATTAGTTAAGCCCTCGTACACACTGACAGAAAGGTGGAGATGTTTCCATCCTTGGAGAACCTCAAAACACAACATGACAAGGACCTGAACATCCTCATCTAACTTTGATGTTGGTTTTCTTTGAACAAGAACTTAGGTGTTCTCTCAGGATCCCTTCCAACCTAAATTACTTTAAGTCTACAATTTTACTTGTTATAAATGTATTCTTGCATAAGCTTTTCTCGTAAAGTTAAACATGCTTGCAAAGCTGTAAACCTCTTTCGTGTATGTTCTAAAGCTATCTTTTGCTGGTGATATAGATGGCATAATGTGTACAGTGCCAGAGTTGGAGAGGAAGGAAATGAAATGATGAACTAGTATACAAAAAGGAAATTCACTTGCACTATGCTATGAATTTCTGGAAGTGCTTATACGCTCCTTGTATAAGTGTGATGCATCATCTGGTGAAGGTATTGCGCTGAAAATAGACTTCCTGAACGTATGCTCTATTTGTTCAATTCTTTCAGCTTACTATTTTGATAGACAATAAACTGTAGCTGCACAGTGAGATTTTGTGAATGTCCTGTGGGACCACATCATTACTTTTACTAAAATATGATTCTTTTTGTGAACAAATTTTTTAAAGCACTACAGTTGATGAAAGTACTCTTCAGATGTATCCAGCCAAGTCCTAGTAACTAGTTGCTTGGTAGAAAATTGCAATTAATTAAAAAGAAAATTAGACTAAGTTATTTAGCCTTAATTTTTAGTCATCTGCAGACGTGTTCAATTCCTTGTTCTTACAAAATCTGCTGCATTTCCCAAGAGTCTGTTGTCCTTGTTCATGTACTTCAGTCTTTTTCGAGGAAGATGTTCTCCCAGTACTAGGTAATGGATCTCAGAACGTTTCTATTAGTCTCAAATTGGGGTTTTAAGACTACTACTAATAGACTTTTATGAGTTTTACTGTGCTTTTCCACTCAAATATACATGAAAATAGTACGTATATGTTTTGCTTACATGTAAACCTTTCTTTTTAAATATATCCTTATTAAAATGTACTACGCTTTCCTTGCCAGTTCAAAAAACAATCATTTTGTATCCAAAAAGAGTCTTAAAGTTGAATTGCAAATCTATGATAAGACAAACTTTGCAGCAAGCCAAGCGGTTGCAGAGTATCAAAATACATGAAACTTTTATGGGAAGTTGGTAAACTGGAATATGGTCCATAGAGGCAATGCAGAATAACTGAAAGTATCCTTTTATGGGTGATGGCAGCAGCATACAAATGTGAATGTTTGGAATTCATAGAAAATCACTGTAAAACTTGTGCATACCATGAAGTTCACAGGTTTTTTCTGTAGTGGTACTCTTAAGTATGCAGTACAAAGAATCTACATGGCCTTCTCACACAGTCATTTGGTTTGCAGAAATGCTAACCATTAACTGTGCAAGTCATTCTGGGTATAAATTTCTCTAAAAGGCAGCAAAAAGTGCTGCTATAAATATCTTCTACTTATTTGGCTTGAATAATAATCTCAGTTTTAACGGTGAGCTCTCAGAAAAGAGATGATAATGGAAGTGCTGGCACACTCAGTGTCCCCAGCCCTGCAGGTGTTGCAATAAAAGAAGCTTTAAGAACTTCAAGAACACCAAAAGGGCATAAACCTACAGATGTTTCCTTCAGTTGTTTGTAAAAGGGGAGTTTTGCTACTGTTCTATTGTTTCAGTTGTCCCTTTTTTCTCGGGATTTTACTCTGCTGTAGTTCATCATCCTTGGTTCTCAGAATAGCAGAATTCCCTGGTAGGGCACACCGAAATGGGGAGGGAGGGGTCTTTCCTCAAGACCTTTCCTTTCTGTCCTCCTGACAGAAGAGGACAGTTAGATTATTTTTTTTTTTCAGGGCCAAGCATTTTATGATAAAGATTATCACTGACAGAGCAATCCATAGTGAGTGAAAGATTGAAATGGCATAATTTTAGATATATTGTGGAGTAAGGAAGAGAAATTACCTGCAGTTTTACAGTGCTTGCTTGTTAGCTGCACCAATGGAAAGCTTAATCTCCTTGCAAGGAAGGGCACTCTTTCTTGATGAAAAAGTGGAATGGCTGGTCTGGTGAGTGTTCTCTTTTATTGACTTAAAATATGGTCTTTGTCCTATGTTGTGAAATGAGAAAGATATGTTAGTAAAATGTGGAATACTGCATAGCCAGAAAAGATCATCTAGTTATTCATGTATCAGTAAGTAATTAAATGTTGGAAATACTATTTAAGTTGTGGAGATCAAAATTCTGCAGCTGTAGCATGCTGACCTACTAAGGACTTCAGGAAGACACAGCTGCATTATCCCTGATGAGTTCTTTTAAGCACTGAATTCAGTTGCTTTCTAGGTCAAATTTTTGGTTACTTTTTCCATTTTAAAAGGTTACAGAAAGATTCAGTAACTTTTTCAGAGTTTGATATGTTTTCAGATATGTTTGAATTGAAGTCAAATAATTCAACAGATAAACCTTCATCAAATATTACTAAGAATTTATATACCACATCTAATTCTCCAAATGTATTGGTGAGATGATGAAAATTTGCTGTATGTTAATATACAACATATGAATGGAAGCCCAAGTTGGATTCAGTCTCAAATAACGTCACACTATTGGGGGGGAAGAGGGGAGATATATTAAAATAGGGACATTGCGTCTGTTTGCGTCACAGTTTTACACGGTGTAAATTTTTGGTGAAGGCTTTTGAAAGGGTTTAACTTATGGCAATGTGAATTCCACATAGAATTTGGTAATAGAGCTGTAGCTCTACTCTGTCAAAATGTAGAAAAGGTGTACAGTTTCATTGTTCTTTTCCTCAGAAGGAAATCAATTAGTAGCTTAAACAAAAATAAATTTAATGTTTCATTATTTTTAGCATGACTTCCTAAGGAAATAAGGCTTATGTCATTGCACTGCCTTTTTTATGTCATTGCACTGCCTTTCTGCCTCTGGTTCCACTTTAGAACATCTGGACAATTGCAGTCAAATCTGATGTAGTAATCTGTAAGATTAGTGAAAGTCAGTGACTAGGCAGAAAAAAGCCCTTAAACTGATCTTATCCTCTTCTGAGCAATTTCAACAGTACAAGTTCAATGGTTCCATTTAGATGTGGGCTGACCAGGCAGCGAGTGAGTGCACGTTCCCAAAGGATCTGCTGTGCGCTGCTGGTATTTAGGGGGTAAAAATACTATGGGGATTGCAAACAAGGAGAACGAGGTATTTGTGGGAGAATGGGGATGGATGTCAGTGGAATTAGAAGGGGGGCATGAATGCAGTTAAAAAGGAAGAACGTTAGTGCTTTAAAAAAAATTAAAAGTATGCACAACTCAAACTTCCACAAATTGTTAGGGAATCAAACTTCACAATCTCTTCCTCTAAAAGAAGAATTTCTTCGTATTGTAGAATATAGGAAACTTAACTAGACTGATACTGCTGCTATTTTTACTGTAGTTTTGATGAAACATAGTGCATAATTCTTAGTATTGAGGTTGTTTTAGAGAACAATAATTAAAAATTTAACTGTATACTGTGAATTCCCTCCTATAACTTGACAATTCAACAACTCTACATTCAAACCAAACCACTTCATATTTGTAATTTTCCAGCATGGACTTACATCATTCCAGGCTTTTTTGGTCACTACTTAATTAATTTTGTAAAGTTATCCCATCTGCCTTAAACTTGCTTCACCTTGTGAGCATTAGTCGCATTAGTCTTAGTATCACAGCTATTGTTTTAATTGATGTAATGTAGGTTAGCTCACTGTTTCAGGTGACTTCTGATGAAGCTAATTGAATGCCTTGGAAAATGCTATGTATTGTAGATTTTGATTTCTTTTCCATGCTAAATGTCATCATCTGTGTAACCACTTCTGCTTTAGTGTACTTTGTCTTAAAGTTCTCTGTCAGCATCTGTTCTGCTCTTGCATTATGAGAATGTGTAAGAAAATTCATGCTTCTGAAGCAGACTGTGCTCATTTCTTGTTACCTATACATAAAGATTTTGCCACAGTTGACTTTTTACAAAATTCAGTCAGTGACATCTGTAGTCATTGTGATCTACAGCTAAAACTTTCTTAAATGATGTAGTGTGTCTTCCTAAATAATTGCTTCTGTAAACTTCTGCGCAGTTGTGGTAGCAGTTGTGTGTTGTGTGTAGTTGGGCTTGTGCCAAAAGTGGAAGTGAGGAGTTAAGCTGCCCTGGGATTTTTGCTGTTTCATAAATTCCATAATTGTCTGATTCAGACTTTCAGGATTAAGTATTCTTTAATTTATTGTGAGCACATCTTTTGTCTTTTATACAGGTTTTTGTTTTGTTTTTCAATTAGAGTTTAGTTCTTGTTTTACTGAAGACTTAACTTATGTTCATTTACTGTTGTTTTTTAACAGGTCATCTGAACAAGAATCACCAAAGTGAGTTTTCTTTGAACTTTCTACTGTAGAATCTCTAGCTTTAAGATATATGATAAAATACATAATTTGAACTGATTTTTCAAAGTACTGGTCTTGTATGGTTAGAAGACATAGATGTATAAACCAATGATGATTGTAAAAATTTATGAGAAAGATTGAGTTTTTGGATCAGAACATGGAAAGCCATAAGTCCTAATACACTTCTAATGACTATTAACAAAAAAGTTGGTTAAAAACTCTTGTAAAAGTTTAATGATTCAAAAATCCACTGGTAATTTTATCTGGTAACTCTTCAGGTAGTGCCAGAAAACATTAACTGAAATAATTTGTCATATATTTCTGGTATTGTTAATTTTTTTCCTATATCGAAAAATCATTATGATCTGTAATCTCAACTTGTAAGTGAAATGTTTGTGTTTTGTTGTGTTTTTGTTTTTTTTTTTTTTTTTTTTAATTACTATGTCCTCAAAAATTTTATTGGGATGTATTTACATATACAATGTTCCTGCTTGCTTACCATTGACCTCGCAGGAATCATGAAGAGTCCTGGAAGCTATCAGATAAAAACAAAATTTTAACAGTGTAATTCCTTTTAAGTGTCATTGTAGTTCACTACTTCCAGGTATTTTGAAATTATTGAGAGCGCCAAGTGAATAATATCTCCTGAAGGCTGGAAAAATATTTTCTGTAACAACTGAAAATTCTGCAAATGTTGCACAAAACACTTCATTCCCATCGCCAAGTACACATAGTATAACTGAACATCAGAAATATTATGGCAAGAATTGCATGATGGCACCTTTCAAAATGTTTGTTTGCAGTCAGATTTCCACAAGCCAAGAAATAAGTGTTTGCATTATTAAAGTTTGCTGCAGTGTGAGTCCTGGATGTTAAAAGCCTAAACTACATTCTGCTATAGTGCAGTATTACTTCTCCACTGACAGCTAGCAGTGGCTGCTGGAAATGGTTCAGAAAAGCTCACATACATAGTCAGACTAGCACCAGAGCAGAGACGAACGTATGAATTTACAAATTTCAATGCCAAGGTTTACTTGCACGTACTTCTGCTACTTTAACCCTGTGAGAATTTGATGTTGCTTTTAGGGATAAACTGCAATAAACAGCTAACAGCCTGTGTACTTCCAAGGATCAAATACGCTTCATTGCAGTGCTGGGTTGTCAGTAGCGGTGCAGAGTATTCTTGCAAGAAGTACTGCCACTGAGCATCATGCTCTACCATCTAAGTTAAAAGGTCTGTCTGCAGCGGGGCAATACAAGCAGCTAGGAGTGGGTTTTTGCCGTACACAGCGCTGTGTGTTAGGGATATGAAACAGTGTCAGAGTTATACCTGAGTTTTCTGCAGGACAGAGGTTTTCACAAAGTACTATGTAGTATTTATAAAAACGGCGCAGTTCGGAGGTCTGGTATCTGTGAGTTTGATCCAGTTAGAGGGGTTTAGTTGTGTTTGATAGAGTTCTGCATTTCATTCTCTTCAGAAGAGGGCATGAGCTAAATGAATGTTTGAATGGTCCTGGAGCACGACCAGGCGATTTGGCCAATTCTGAGATTTGAGGTGTTCATTTACTTACCCATTTTTGTTATTCTTGAATTTTAAGGTTCTTGACTCACTAGGGCAGGTCGGCACCCCCATTTAATTCTGGGTCATTCTTCATGATTATAGCTATGTCAATGACAGAATATATTAACTGTCCTTAAATCTTTCATTGTCACTTCATTTCCTATTTCTCTGACAATTTACCATGACTTTTCTGCAAAGCACCTTCTCCTGGAGGGATGAGGTTGAGATGGCCCTCATAAGAGGGAGGAATGAAAAACAAGTGCTTTGCAAGAGTGAGTGGAATCACGGCAAAAGTCTTTCATGGGTAGGATTGGCAACTGAAGTGCCTGTCCCCTGGGGTTCAGCTCTCTTCTCATTACTGTGATTTCCTGTACCACTACAACAGTGCCTTTCACTGCTGACATCCAAATATTTTGATGCTCTTGTTTTGTCCATTCTCCTAGATGTCCACTGATCAAATGATAGGCTTAGATCATACTCCAATCCTGTTACCTTGCACCCAAGAAATGGTGTTAAATCTGAAGTATAAAGTTGGCTTGTTCTTTTAACTGGGAACTGCATTTGTATATTTTACTATTTTATTTAAAAATTTGGATAACGATACCTTTGTAATATTTATTTATCCTTTTTAAATGAAGGAATGTATTGGGAAACAGTCCAACGCAGAGTTCTCTGACCCGTACCTCACCTAAAGCCTTGGCTTCCTCTCCCAATGGAGTTGGTAACGTTTCTGGCCCTTACCCACTGGAAGGGGTTGATAAACAGTTCTTAGAAACATATGACAACGTTATAAAAAGTAGCTCGACAGAAGATTCCAGTCAGTACTACTGTGATAAGGTATGTTCAATTGCCTTCTTTTAAAGTCAAAACTAGTACTAAGTGTAGGTTTGAACTGTAGATTAAGAACCCACAAAAAGTGTGTTTGTATTCCAGGATGATCATATTTCATGCAGTAATAAGAGTAAATCTTGTCTTACTATTCAAATTTAACCAAGACTGTGTACACAATATGGTAGGCAAGGCTGACAACTACGTTGATTTCCAGTGTCCAGGTTTCCAGAAGCATCTTCAGGGGAAGATACTTACGTGATTAAATCTTATTTCTCCAAGGAAAGATCAGATAACTCAAGCTGTTGTATGTCTTGATAAAAGACACAACTCTGCTTTATCCCAGGCATCTCCTCTTTAGGATGGCTAAACATCATCCTTTGACTTCTGCGCTGGCTAGAGAGCAGCTGCTCCCTGCTAACGTTATGGAAACGGATCATTCCTCCCCTTTCTCCAGACCGTTCCAGGGTGGTGCTGAACAGCTTCATAACCTGCCTGTCCAGTAGCTGCTGCCAACTTTTAATCCTTCTGGCTTGTGGATCTCTTGCAGAAGATACCAATGCACCCATGCACAGGAGAAAAACTGGGGAAAAAGTAGTCACTTCATAGCCCCTAGAGTAGAATTGCACCTAACTTTTTTTTTCCCCTTTAAATCACCTTTAGTAAAGACAACACATTGAAAATTTTAATAAGAGCTATCAACTGAGAAAGCTGAGATGAGAGTAACAGTGTTAGGACAGAGCAAGCAGAGAACATATTTGCTGTTATGTATGTTGCTGTTTTTACAATTTTAAAAGGTTACAATCATGACTATGTTCTGTAACCTAGCTTCTTCCTATTTTAAATGTGGCTTTATGTAGAGTATTCTTTTCAGCACATCTAAATTGGGATGCACTATTTTCTAATTTGCTGCTATTTTCTTTTAAAAATTAGAAAAGTTTTGGTTTTTCTATGTATTGCAGAATGACCTAATTGAGGGAGATTTACTTTTGGTGCGTATCATACCAGATGAAGACGGGAAGTTTGGATTTAATCTAAAGGTAAAACAACAATCTTTTAGTTATTTTTAAATGCTTTATAGAGATACTATGCTTTGACTTTATGATTATTTTTCATTTTTAATGCAATGCTTTGGAGAAAGCACTATGTTCTACAGGAATTTCTTATGGACCGAGAGTTTTTGGAAGTGGCAGCCTAATCCTTAAATTCTAAAGCAACATTTACAGAAATAAGCCTCTACTAGTTCTGTGGGTTTTTTAGTTGCATATACTATGGACATGGCACATTTCCAAAGCAGACTGCCTATTTGACTGCTTAAATATGAACTTGGAAGGCTAATTTAAGGCATCAACTTTTGGAAAATTTGACCTCTGTATTATAAAACAAGTTAAATAGTTTGTGCTATCCAGTTGAATATATCCATTTAAAAAATCATATGGGAAAGGTGACAATTAATTTATGAAGAAAATGGAAATTACTATTAATAATTGACTATTGTATATTTTTTACATTCCCTCACTGAAATCCCATTTAAGCAGATAGTGTAAAGTAGCCATAATATCAAAATGGGGGTAGAGTTTGATCTTTTCACCTCAGACATTTATTGGTGGGGCAGTGATAGAACGTCATGTAAGAGTGAGAGAGTATGGTTGTCTGGAACGTTGATCCTACCTGGTCCCTTGCAGGTTCATCACAGCATCTAAGAACACAGTCCACCTTGCAAGTTTACGTATTGAATTAGGCTTGCTTGAAGGGTAGGGTTAGAATAAATGCTGCATTTGGTCTGTTTATTGCATTTGGTCTGTTTATTGCCTGTTAAAATATATGGCCAAGCAAAGACACTGGGTCTAGTTTACTAGAAATTGGTAGGTTTAAAGACACCACACCCTCCCCCCCCCATTTACTGATGAAAATTCAATCTTACTAGCCCTGCCTATAACAATGGAGCATAAAGTTTATATAGATACAAAAACAAGTCATTACTTGTTTTAAATGCTGCTCATGTTTATTATAATGAAATATTTATGGTGGTTATTTATTTGACATTCCTCTAGGGTGGTGTAGATCAAAAAATGCCATTAGTGGTTTCAAGAATAACTCCAGGATCACCTGTAAGTAAATTCTTAAGACTTTTAATCCCTCCCTTTATTACTTTCTCCACCACTCACACAGGTCTGTATGCATAGAAATTTAGAAACCCATAACCAGTATGAGACAGCAGCTGATCTGTTCTCTTTAGAAATTGATTTGACCAGTGGTTTCTTAAACCACAGATGAAAAGATTAGCCAAACAAGACACCAGTGGAAAGCATGTTTGTTTCCCCCTGTCATCTCAAAAATCGTATCTTGAACTGGACCAAGTTAAGTTAGTGAAAGTCAGGTTCTTCATGCTTAGTGAAGTAATTCTTCATGCATAAGATAGTAGAGCTGTGAAAACCCTTGACAAAGGCTGCTGTGGTTAAAATAATTTTTTGGGTGGTCAGGAGAGTACAAATAGTTGGGAGAAAAACCTGCTAGCAGTTACTGACTAGACAAACCACAACAGGCTGAGGAAATCCTTAGGGCTAAAAATATTTATAGGATTGGAGAGTACTTGATGGGGAGGGCATTGCAGAATGTTTGCTCTGTTCTTATTTTGCTATGGATTTTTTTTCTCGTGGAAATATTTATGGGCTAGGTGGAACATTCATTAGAATCAGTACAGCCATTGAATACTACTTCTGAATTGTGAATAATAGTAATATAACATCGTGGTAACTTTTTTCTAAATAATTATTACATAAATTTGTGAAGGTATATGCTACCTTATCTCAATTTTCTTTCAATTCCCTTCTGCCAAAGTGTATTTCCCAACTCTCATAAAATAATTTCAGTGCAAACTTGAGAGGAAATATTGCTGGCTTAATCCTAAAAATCTCATGTAGTCTGTGTCTTGCAGGCTCTTTTGAAATCTGATAATCAGTCACAGGACTGGTATCTACATGTCATGATGTAAATCAAGCTATAAGAGATTGTTTGAGAAGTAGTTTTTGTCACATTTATGATTTGTGCCTTGACTTATGCAGTGCATAGCACTCCTTTATGAACTACAATATTATTTGAATAGAAGAGTAGTAGGAAACTATCATTATAACTTAAATCCACAAAGTGAAAATAATACAGTCATTAAAATGATTCATAGTCAAGCTAGCAAGCTTCTTAAGGGTGATTTGAGATAATGAAGTTAATGTAGGGCAAACAGGCTCATTCCACAATCAGAGAGTGAAAGATGCTTCTCCAGAGGCAGCGATTTCCTTTGGCAGATTTAGATTGTCTTCTGGGAAGTATTGATCTGTTTTTTTCCTCTTGGATTGGAAAAGGACTGGACTTCTAACTTACAGACTTCATTTAAGTGTCTCCAGTTAGTGGCATAGGCATAGACGCAAGTGACCAATTACCTCTCTAGCCTCGCAAACCACCAAGCCAGCAAGTTATCAAGGGTCAGGGAATAAACTGGAAACAGTTATCCAATACAATATACTCAACAGCAGTGTTATAGAAATCATGTCATGTTACAGCAAGAGGAAAAAATTATACTTATTTTTAGAGCATAGCATTATTGACATTGATTATGTTGTTTTCCATAAACAACATTTAACCAGTTCTTGACTGTTTAATGATATGTAGCTGATATTTGGAAGTTCAAGTTAAGCAGTCTAACGCATTTTTACGTTATTTTAGCTCAATGATGCATTTCCTTCATTGTATTGCTACTATTTCAACTTGTTCTAGATTCAATCGTTACCCTGTAAATTGTCCTCAGGGTTGTTGTTTGGTAATATTATTTGCTAAGATTACTTCTCAGGTTTGTAGGTCACTTTTTCTCCACTTTCCTACAAAAAGATCTGTATTCTCTGTGGAGGAAGGGGAGCAAATCTGCACTATTGTCCCTTTCATGTCCTAAAGTTCTTTTAAAAATCCTACTCTGATACAGTAGCAATCTAGTATGTTGGGAAGATTGTGGGATAGAGTAGCCAAAATTCTTGTGGGAGAGCATTAAATCTAAAGAACAACGATTTATCGCATGTGGTTTGTTGGGGATTTTTTTGAACTAAAGTCCTCTACTGATTTTTTTCACAAACAGTATTTAATGTCCTAAGGTGCTAAAGAAGTCGTCATGATTTTATTTAATAAAGCTTTTCATTGAAAAATAGTATGCATGCTTCTTGGAGCAATAACTAGGTGCTTAGCATAAAATGAAACATTGGGTGTATCAATAAGACAGGAAGCCTTTGACATAATTAATTAGCTGGAAAAGCTCAGTATCTGAAAAATCTACAAATTATGCTTACATAGAAGGAATTATTTCTCCTTCAAGATGTATTTTATATAGTGAGATGATTTAAGTAAGAGAGCTGAGGCATTAACATGTCACATGATTAACAAAATTTCTTCAAGCAAAGATATTAATCTCCATCTGTAATAAAGAATAATAGCCAGCAACCAGCCAAGAAATCTATATTATAGGCAAATACAGGAGATCAGACAGCATTCCCTCCATGTTCTTGTTGACTTCTTGACTCTCCTAGACTGACCTGATGTGGTCTTTATATCACTAGAGACTAATTTAGATGTCAAACAATAATATTTCAATGTGATTAAATCACTCAATCACTCATAGTTCTATTCTTCAGTCTTGCCCTTGTAAATTGTACAAAATATGGCGAGGGAGCTTTTGAGGAGCTGTGAATAGCTAGTTAAATCAGTATTGAAGAACACCATGGCTATTCATAATTCCCATTCTTCTTCTGTTTACATTTGTCTTTTTATCATTGTCAATCTTCTCTATCCTTCATTATTTTCTTTCCTTATTTCTTTTCCTTTTTCAATTTTTAAGCAACATTTCTGCTTGGGATTTTTTCCTCTTGCATACATCTTTTTTCCCTCTCTCTTTTCCTTTATCTGTTTTGTGGCACTCATACATGTCTTAAGTTTTCTTTCCCTTTATTCTCTGACACAAGTGGCTCCCAATTAATTTTCTTCTTCATATCCTTGCCTCTTTTTTTTTTAATTCTGCATTTTTCTTCTCGTTGGTTCTATCATTGTCACTTCTTTTCATCTCTTCCTATTTTTTACTTGGTAATATAGCACCTCACTGATAAGCTTACTTTAGGAGCCATCAGTGCAAGGCATATAAGCAGGATTGGGGCTGATGAGAACACCTTGTTCACATTTGGGGGGTTGATGATGGTTTTTTGATAGGGCTAATAACACTGGATGAATAAAGTTCAGGGAACCTGTGCTGGCATTAAGGAAATACAGGGCACAATGATGAATAGAGAATAACAGTAATATGAGTTATATGTCTCATTCATATAACAAATGAAATGGAGTGTACATGTAAGTATATCACTCTTGTGTAGCTGGGTGCTTCCTAGACTAAATAAAAACTAGGACAGCAATGAAAATAAAATTGTTACACTACTTGACACTCAAATGTAGTAGAATCCTGCACATTCATATTACAGAATTACAGAAGGTTGGAAGGGACCTGGAGGTCATCTTGTCCAACCCCCCCTGCTCAAAGGGCAGCTAGAGCCAGTTGCCCAGGACCATGTCCAGATGGCTTTTGAATACTCCAAGATGGGAGACTCGACAGTGTTTCTGGGCAACCTGCTCCAGTGCACAGTCACCCTCATAGTAAAAAAGTGTTTCCTGATGTTCAGATGGAGCCTCCTGTGTTTCAGTTTGTGCCCACTGCCTCTTCTCCTGTCACTGGGCACCACTGAAGAGAGCCTGGCTCCATCTCCTCTGCAGCTTCCCTTCAAGTATTTATATGTATTGACAAGATCCCGCCCAATCCTTCTCTTCTCTAGGCTAAACACTCCCAGGTCTCTTAGCCTTTCCACATACGAGACATGCTCTAGTCCGTTAATCACCTTCACAGCATCATCATCATCATATTCTGGCCATAGCTTGAATTGCTTTGCACTGATCTTAGAGCTAAGCATACCAAGAAGTGTGGCAGAAAAAAGCCAAACAAACCCTAGAGTTCAGCAGTTAATCTAAATTGCTGTATCCAAGACAAGACATATTGTAATTTTTCATTTGAGATGGAAAAAACCTTGTTTTAGTGTTCTCAGGTAGCAGTACAGGTAGCAAAAAAAATTGTCACAAATGAGTGACTTGAGCATCATAGGTTGAGTACTTACCTGCATCTTCTTGTTAAAAGTTTCAGTGAATGAAATGAGGAAGAATGTTCTCTATATGTAGATATCATTTAATATCCACCAAACAAAAACATGAAATGTATATGGATTTCTTTAAATTTTAAAAAGTGCATGCCTGGGGAATGTCAGGTTACTTAAATTACGTTCGTCAAAATCGTGTTTGTACTTCTCAGTATTCACTGTATAAAAACTGAAGCATGTTATCTTATGTGCCCAAAACACTTTTTCCAGAAATTCATTTACAAGTGGCTATAATCGGTGGCTGTTGAGGCTTGGAGTTTAGATCTTTAAGAGCAATCTGATGATGCATGTTTGATAAATACCAATTCTTTTTATAGCTATCAATATGCTGTTTGAACTGCTTCTCATTGAGAGGCTTTGAAGCAAGAAAGACAGCTTTAGATCTGAATCTTTTGATAGAACTTCTGATAGATAGATGAAACCTTGTCAGAAGAACTCTGAAGGCTTTGCTTACATGATGAACTTTATATCCTGATGTGTTCCTGCTTACATGACTGAATGCAATGACATTAATGTGTTTCTTTGGTCTTGAAACAGGCTGATAAATGCATTCCAAAACTGAATGAAGGTGATCAGATAGTATTAATTAATGGCCGAGATATCTCAGAGCACACGCATGACCAGGTGGTCATGTTCATAAAAGCCAGCAGAGAATCTCACACGAGAGAGCTTGCACTTTTGGTCAGGCGGAAAGGTAACTGGGCTGATTTTATTCACTTTTAATACTTTTGAGACTGTTGCTCTTATGCTTGGTGGTGTACTCTCTTCTGTTTACATAGATGTGTTCTCAGTGCACTGGAAATAGGTCTGTGCTAAAAAAGTAGATCTCCCTGCATTTGAATTAATAATACAAGTAGTTTTAACTATATAGGTTCTTACCACTGCAACACAGAATCTGTCAAGTTAGAATTTCTTCTTATTTTTGAAGTCTAAAAGCCTATGAGAACAAATAGTCCTTTGCAAAAGTTTGGTGTGTGGTTGGGTTTCTTTTGTAAATATAGTGTAATTTCACAGATCCCCAATTGCGGGTTTGCAAATACCCATGGGCTGTTCCCAAGCACAATTATACAATGAAACAAGTCAAATAAGCTTGCTTTTTTTTTTCCCCCTCTTTTCTTTCTTTCCATTCTATACAATAAACATTTTGTGACAATACTGAGCTTGACCAATGCTCGCTACCTGCTAAATTGCTGCCAGCAAATAAGAGACAATCTCTGAAATATGCAGGGTCCTAAGCTTGTGTATTTAAAATATGGGGAACCCACCCAGCTTGGTTTTGCTGGCTCCACATTTAAACACATGCAGATCCCTAGAGCTTTCAGGTGATGTGAAAAGTTTATTATTTACTTTCCTTAAGAGCTGTGGTCATACCTTTACACACACAATTATGGAAGATCTTTGCACAGAGTTTCTGAAACACAAATGTCTTGTGTTTCTAGGAAGACAGATGGGCTTTTGATCTTGTTTTCCCTGAACAGTCCTGCCTCTGTTATTACAGGCCTTTCCACTGGCTCTGTGCAGTATTTAGTCTTCTCTTAACTTTTCTAGTCCCCTTCCTACTGGCAGATAAGAGAAGTCTGCTCTTAGCTAAAAATAACCTGTGGGCTCCATGCCGGTCACTTGTATAGGCATGAGTATGAACAGCTCCCCATTTTCTGAAATTTCATGAGCCGTTCTGATGATGGCAGAGAATGTCCACAGCTGGACACATTTGGTGACAGAATAGCTTTCACAGAGACAGAACTGCTGTGTAGATTAATTCATTAATGTTTGTAATGCTCTTCAGCATGTTAGCAAGGAATGTGATCGAAAACTGAATAATATTTTTTTTGTCATTTATTAAGTTAGTTCCTTCAACATTAGCATGAGAAATTGCAAAAGACAATTCAGTTGCTTCTTTAATGGCAAGGGAGTACAATCTAAGTATGTTTGTGTTTGTTTTGCTGCTGGGGGTCCAAAGTTACATAAGCTTCTTATAGAGATATTCTGTTAATTATTCTATAAACTTTTTTAGGCAAAACTCATTTGTTTTTTACCATGGTGGATGTTGTGATTCATTAGCCTATTCAGCAGATCACCCTGTAAGGCAAGGTTGTGGCAAAAAACTCTTTGTGCTTGGAAGTCAAGTTCTTTTCCTTCATAGGTAGGGACCTTGAGAAGTTTTGTTTTCTGAAAGGTCAAAGGGATGTTTTACTCTTAGTAGTTTCTACACTAATATAGTACATAAAGAAATGCAGTTAAATGTGTTGCTATTTGCTTTCCTGAGGCCTTGTCTTTGCAAACTTTGTTGTTCTTGCAAGTTGGTAAATTTTAATACGTGTTGCAAATACATTAATGCTGTATATAACAGATTTTAATTTTCATTACATCTTTCAGTAGTTAAACACTTTGTGGAGCCTAAATCAGAAGACGAAGCTGATTCTCACAATATCCCAGAATCTCTTCTTCCTATCTATTCCGAATATGGTGGTGATACACTGGAGGAGTCTATGGAGCAGCTAAGGAAAGGGCTGGAAAGTGGGGCCGTCCTTATTCAGTTTGAGGTAGGTAATACTCAACTCTCAAATGCCATTAATATAGACAAATAGCCGCAACCAGCAAGTAATGTAAGGGCTTAATTAATTGGAAATCTCATTGCTCCCATTCAGTCTTACCTCAAAAGAGCAAGACTGTGACTTGCCCATCAGTTTCACCCTTCACTACTTAGGATAGGGAAGAATGAGTAATCAGTCTTGCATAAAACATCATCTGCTGAGAAAAAAATGTGTTTTAATTAACCTGTTTCTAGCTCAAGTACTCAAAGCTCACTAAATTAATATTTTTTTCTTAATTATTTTATTTAGTAAAATAGTGGAGTTTTGACAGAGATCAGTCTTGTACTTTGTTTCTTTTTCCATGCACTCATTGACATTTCTCAAACATCTTTTATACCTTAAGTTAGTGTTTCAAGTTCTCATGTGTTGCCTTTTTTCATGGAATAACAGGAGCAACTTGACCATTCCTCATCTTCATCTCTTAGAGGTTGATATGAAAAGGGTTGAATGTTAATTTCCACTTGCAGGACATTTGTAATGTCCAGTTCTGTGTTGTTTCTCCCCGGTGATCTAAAACATTGATGGTTCCTTCTTGGGCAAATTACCTTATACATGAGATACCCCTGCCTATAGGATGAGACTGTGAAGAACTGCTGTATAGATTAATGAATTAATGTTTGTCATGTTCTTCAACATGTTAGCAAGGAATGACATGGAAAACTGACCAATAAAATGTTTTTATAGTTTACTAAAATTAGTTCCTTCAGTGTTAGCATAAGAAATTCTAAGAGATAATTTAGCTGCTTCTCTAATGTCAAAGGAGTACAGTGTTATGAATGTTTATGCTTGTTTTTGCTGTTATGGATGCAAACATGCATAGTAACTCCAGAGAAACACTGCTTATTATGATTTAGACATTTCATATTGTTGAGTTCTGGAGTAACCCTTTCTGATGCTGAAAAGTTGTAGAATATACAGGTTTTCCCCATTTTGATATTTTTTCCTTCACTGTTTTTTCAAATGCCCTAAGTTTTAATGGTGCTGGCTGAAGAGATGTAGTATTGCTTATTGCATAACCACTCTTTTTATGAGGTTTGCTTTGTTTCCAAGATTTCTGAGAGTTATGATTCTCCCTTTTTTTTTTTTTTTTAAAGGAATTGTAGACTATGGTTCATAGCTGTTTTCCAAAATCCATGGCACTGGTTGCAATGCAGTGATAGCAATGAGTCTGGCTACTGAAACAGTAACTCAAAAGATAGGAACTAGCCTTTCAGTCCTTTGTTAATTGTCAAAGTTGTTGACTGAATTTGTACACAAAGTTCCTGTAATAATCTTCATAGGTTATTTAATCCTTTATGACTTTTTTCCTGACAGCATTTATAAAAGGATATTACTGATGTTAGAAAAAGCGCAAAACCTTTTTGAAATCTAATAAACTAGGAGCAGCTTAGTGGCCTCTTCCTTTGAGTTCATTGTTTAGTGATCTTCAAGAGCAGAGGCAATTGCAGCATCATCTATCAGCTTTGGTCGCTCTCAAACTCTCCATTCACACTAGTAAAAGAGTAAATAATTAGCCAGTAGGTTATGAATAACCAAGTTTTTCCAGAATATCCTTGTCCACTTAAGCGGAATTTAAGAAGTCTGTCAAGGGCAAATGACTTTTTGGCAGGCAACAATAATGAAGCTTGAGAATTGTTAGTTAACGTTAAATTATTTTTCCTTGTCTCCCAAAAAAAGCAGAAATCACAACTTGGCTCTTGTAAAATGGAACTTAAGTTATAACTGGTAGAAGCTGTTCAGTTGCATAGTTTATCAAGTTCTCTTCTCACATGGCTTGTTTATGCTTTTTGAGTTGAAAAATGTGGTGAGCTGTGATACCAAGTCTTAGGATTCAGTAAATCTCACAGTGGAATAAACTTTTTGTGTGCTGTTCCTTTCTAGTCAACCAAAGTAGGGGATTTTAACTTCCTATTTGTTTCATTCCATTTTATTTATGGAACCATACTCTAAATCTTCATTAAATATGTAAGATATAATGAGCTTTTTGGTAAGTGTTGAATGAAGTATATAAAACTCTTGCACAGCCAGGTTAATAACTCAGTGTTAAGTTGCTTTCATGTATATTTAATACAGAAAAAATGTGGCTGTATAATTGCATTTCTTCATTTTGTTGTTGTTGTTGTTTTCCCCCCTCTGTACCTTTTGTTGTCTTGTATGATGCACTTAATGCATTTTGACCTTAAAATTTATTTTTGGTTATACACTTGTATGCCTACATTTACTCCAGATAAAGTTTGCAAGACAGTGGTTGGCCCAAAAGAAGAGTCGTCACATGTAAAGAGATTGTGATACATTGAAGCTTTTTTTTATCAGGGACTTGCAGGGATTGATTGTGATGGTTTTAGTCCAGAGAATAGAAGTGTGTTTGAATTGTTTGTATTACAGTTGCTTCCAGAAAATATTAGTCTGCAGCTGTTTTTTTCTTCTGATGTCTTTTATTGCTCACTTCTTCCACCCTCAACCTCACTTTTCCTTCTGTCACACAGTTTTATAAGAAAAAGGCAACCTTGCAGGGAAACAGGTTATATCAATGACCCTTACACTTTCTCTTTTCTTTTTTATTAGAAGTTCTTCTAGAGATGATGATGGGCTAGCAATAACAGAAATTCTTGCCATGTTAAAATACACAAAAATCTCTTAAGTGGATTTTGCAGATGGTTAGGAAAAAGATTAAAGAAAATAACTTCTGATTTTTTTTTCACACTATGTATTTTCATAAGAATCTCTTTAGTGTGTGTATAGCATAATCACAACCCTCAAAATCCTGTCGTTTTTCATTCTGTCTTGCAGCAACTTTATAGAAAGAAACCAGGATTGGCTGTTACATGTGCAAAGGTACCTCAGAATATGGACAAGAATAGATACAAAGATGTTCTACCTTGTGAGTATTAAGTACAGACTTTCTGCCTATTTTGCTTTATCCTCTAAATGATAGCTTATAAAACTGTTGTATTGAACTTCTTGATTGAAGATTTCATTATATAATCAAAGTCTTGTAATTGTTCATTTTATTTTCTAAAAGGTTGTTTATTTTGGTTTGTATTCTGCTGTTTGTGTGTTTGCAATTCCTCATTTTTTTGACTTAATAAAAGGGAAGCATGGCCCTTTGTTGCTAATTTTATTCCCTCTTTATTATTTTTTCGTGTGCAGATGATGCCACAAGGATAGTATTGCAAGGAGCTGAAGATTACATTAATGCAAATTATGTGAATGTAAGTCATAGAGAGACCTGCATTTGCCCACTTTCCATATTACAATAGCAGACTAAATTAAGCCTTTTTAAGAAATAAAGGAAAAAATCCCCCCATTTTATATTTTGGGGATTTCTAAATGTAAAAGCTGTAAAGATTAATAATGTAAAAGATGAAGCGTCTCTTGTGAAAGTGGCCATCCTGGTACACAGTAGATGCAAGCATGTGATGTACACTGTGATATGTGCAGGGCCTTTAACCAGTAAAAATTGTTTTACCTTTCCATATACTGCACATGTTGAGGTTCTCTCCTATAGCTTAAAACTAAGCCTTTTTCCCCTCTAGAACCAATGGCCTACCAACTACGCTATGAAGGGTCCAGAAGATAAACAAGAGCCCTGATTGCCCTAATCATGTGTGTAGACAGGGAGAAAAGGGGAAAATATATTTTTCCCAGAAAGCTCAGAAGGTCAACCGTATCCTGGGCTGCATCCCAGAAGGCCAGCCACATCCTGGGCTGCATCCAAAGCAGTGTGGCCAGCAGGTCGAGGGCGGTGATTCTGCCCCTCTACTCTGCTCTGGGGAGACCCCACCTGCAGTCCTGTGTCCAGCTGTGGAGCCCTCAGCACAGGAAAGACATGGACCTGTTGGAGAGGGTCCAGAGGAGGGCCACAAAAATGATCAGAGGGATGGAGCACCTCTGCTATGAGGACAGGCTGAGAGAGTTGGGGTTGTGCAGCCTGGAGAAGAGGAGGCTCCAGGGGGACCTTACAGTAGCCTTCCAGGACTTAAACGGGGCTTAAAAGAAAAGTGGGGACAAACCATTTAGCAGGGCCTGTCCTCCATGATAGGATGGTGGTGGTAATTTTAAACTAAAAGATTTAGACTGGATATAAAGAAGAATTTTTTTCACAATGAGGGTGGTGAAAAATGAGAACAGGTTGCCCTATCCCTGGAAACCTTCAAGGTCAGGTTGGACGGGGCTCTGAGCAACCCAATCTCGATAAAGATGTCCCTGCCCATTGCAGGGGGGTTGGACTAGATGACCTTAAAAGTCCCTTCCAATCCAAAGATTCTATGATTCTATGTTTGAATTAGATACTTCAATTAAACACCTAAATCACAGAATCAACTGTTAACTTACTGTGTCTATCATCAGGCAATAAACAGCTTTTTTTAGTGTACTTTTGGTATACCTTGCCATTATTCCTTACTAAATATTAAAGAAAATTTGGGAAGTCTTGCAGTTTCAAGTTTTCAAATACATTTTCACTATTAGTCATCTCTTCCTAGTTCACCATGAAGGACTATAGTATCTATAGTATACATCTAGTTTAAATTAAAAATTTAAAGATTTTTCAGATAACAAATTGTGATCTTGATTGTCTTATTACTCAACTTGGCCCCTTAATCTTCCCTCAACTCTGAATGAAATGCTGATTTAAAGAAAAATAGTACTTGAGCAGTGAGAGCAAACTTTACATAGGATTTCTCGATCTCTTTATAGATGGAAATTCCTTCTGTGGGCATTGTGAACAGGTACATTGCTACTCAGGGGCCTCTTCCACACACATGTGTGCACTTCTGGCAAGTAGTCTGGGATCACAAGTTGTCACTGATCATCATGTTAACAACTCTCACTGAACGAGGACGGGTAAGTGTTCAGGTTCTTCATATGCTGAAGAAACGTACTCTACCTTTAAACTTTTTTCCCATTGTTACGATTAAAAAACCCTAAAATAGGCCAGCTTATTCTGTTGAATCATTTCTCTAAAGGACAGACTTTCTGAATTACTTAGAAGAACAGATACTCTGCAACTTACTTTTTTTTAATGCTGCTTTGAGACTTATTTGTTTTCATAAACCGAAATCACTGCATTGACTCAATTTTGCTGATCAGCCAGGTACTATGTGCTGTGCAGTGGACAAGGATTTTACTGAACCAGTATCTCACTGGAATGCTTTTTCATGTTCAGTCTATTCCACAACTTTTCAGCCTTAGATTAGATGGGAAATGAGGTAGCAAACCCTTTGTCATCAGTGCTGCTCTAAGCTTACCTTTTAAAATGAGGAATAGATATTGGCATTAGGATTGTTTCTGCATGTTACATGTGCACTGAGTAGGTGTGCCTGCCTATCTGCCTTTAGAAGGTGAACCAGAAAAAGGAAGACTTATTATTTCAGCAGTAGAGTGGTAGGGATCTGAAGATCACCCTCTTACTACCACCAGCAGAAGACAGGAGAGAAAATGGTTCCTTATGCTTGTATGCAGAATTGATTAATCTCTTTTCTTTTAGAAAAAAAGAGAGTGTTTCATGGATGTAATTTTAATACTGAATTCCACTTCAGCTCTCACTTGTATTCTGATGTACCTCAAACTTCATATGCAGCACATCAGATGCCTTCACGTGCACATACGACTTTTCTTGTCACGCATTGGTAGGCATGAAGGTTATGGCATTGCATATAGCCTTCATCTATAACTTTAGCATTTAGATACAATTAGTCATTTAAGAGAAGATCTCTGTCTTCAGTTTTACATCTGACATAGAGAAGAAATATGCATCTCTTCGTCAAATGACACGCACATGAGCTAAAGTTGCTTCTCCATTCTTTGTTCAGTTTCTGAGCTCAGTTCTCCCTAGAAAATATGGAGGGCAACTTTAATTATATGACGAAATTACTGCAGATTATTGTGCCTGCAATAACCTTCTGCATAGTATTCTTGCTACTAATGTTTATTAGCATTATTTGTTTAAAAGCATTATTCTGTGTTTTAAAAATATTTTTGCCTTAAAACACAAAATATGATTGAATAGAAAAATGAAGATTTTTTTCCAATTCAGTGAATTCCTGTCAAAAACAGAAGTAACACATAGCTCTTACTGACCTGAAAACTAATACCTAAATTAGGGAAGCAATCTTCAGAAGATGGCTAGAGTCACTTCATTACCTTCAACACTTGCTTTCAGGGAGAGGAGAAGGGGAAACTGTTCTTATGGAAGCAGCCAGACAGGTACCAGGCAGGCTGAACTCCTGGGGAGTGTGTGTCAAGGGGTGACAGTGTTGTTGGGTATTTCTTTTCCTGCTCACTCTCTCTGCAGAATGAGTTATCTCTTAGGGCCTTCAGAAACAGAGCCCACCTTGCTCTTTCCCTCAGCCGTGAGACTGCAGTGTTGGAAGGGCAGCAGCGGGGGCAGGCTGGTTTGCACTATTTTTTGCCTTTCAGCATGACCTTGCTTCAGTCTAAGAATAATTTGTGTTTGAAGAGACCTGTGGAGATATCTGGTCCACTCCTCTCAGCTCAAAGGGGGGGCAGCTTTGAAGTTCATGAAGGTTGTACAGCATCATGTCAGTTAAGTTTTGATTTTTTTCCATGGATGGACATTCTACAGCCTCAGAGAGAAGCTTGTTTCTGTGCTTAACCATCCTCACTGAAATAGTTTTTGCCAACATCTAATCAGAATTTCCCTTTTTGCATTTTTTTTCAGTTACTACTTGTCTCTTCATTGTTGACTTTCAAGAAAAGTGTGGCTCTGTCTTCACTATAACCTGATGTTAGGTGGCTGAAGATGGCTACAAATTCCCCTCCTACACTTTTCTTCTTAAGATGGAACAAATCCATGTGTTTCTCCTCCTGTGTTATGCCTTGAGAAGTCATTTTAGCAATTGCAGTTTAGTACCAGACAGAAAGCATCTTGCATCCAATTTACCTGAACTTTTATTAAAGTTACTAAAGCACAAGTTTATAGAGAATTTAGCCTGTTTTGCCATGTTATTTTCCAATTTTTATGTAAAGATCTCACCAACAAACCAGATATTATACTGCTCCTTGAATTTCTTGAACCATAGCATAGGAGGGGAGGCTGGAAATAGAAATGCTTGTGCCTTGCTGGACCTGCTGTTTACAAACA